GGTTGGATCTAGGGTTTTGATGGAAGTGAAGAGAGAATCGAGAGGGGGTGGGAGACCGTTGAGAGTCTGAGAGAGTCTCGCCTGAGAAAGAGGGGGATCGCGATCTCAGAAAGAGACTGCAGTCTGAGAAGGGGGTTGCCATTGCGAGAGGGAGAGGATCACAATCTGAGAAAGGGGGAGGGGATCGATCAGGAATTGCAAATGACATCTATACAGATGTAATATCAAATCGGAGTGCTCGTTGTTAAAACCCAAATGGAATTGGGCCAATTCCAAAATTTGAAATATTTTTAGACCCAAACCCTGGAATTGGTCCAATTCCAGAATTTGAAATCAAATCTTCACATCCAAACAGGATGTAAAATGCTTCCAATAACATAGAGCTTTCAATATGACTTTCACTATATTTCGTCAATATTAATGCCTTTTTTGTTTAGTCAGCCAAACTGATTCTTTATTTTACATTTAAATTGTCTTTGGTTTGGCCAGTCAAACTGATTTATTCTATTTTTTCATGTTTTATCTGTACTTTTAAACCAAAGACATGTCTGAGCCAAAGAAATTCCAATAACATCACAGGTTGAGGTGGATCTCACCTATAATATTTGATGGGCAATTTCATATGGAAACACTAAAGGAATCTTTGTTAAGGACGATCCATGATATAGATGAAGCATTTTCGAAGGTAAGCCTTGTTCTTTTTCTTGTGATCCTTTTGTGATTTTCCTTTGTGTAAAACCTCTTTTGCTTTGAAAGAGAACTTATATTTTCTAACTTCATGCAGGAAGCTTTAAGAAAAAATCTTGTGTCTGGTACAACTGCCACCGTGGTTCTTCTTGCAGATGGCCAGATTTTGGCTGCCAATGTCGGAGACTCAAAATCACTTTTGTGCTCAGAGAATTTTCATAGTTCTGCTAGAAAAGGTTGTTATTGTCTGTTGAAAGCATTTACAATCTGCTTTATTCTTCACAGACAACATGACTCTTAGCTTTGCTGTATTTTTTTTTTCTGAAAGGAAATATTGTAACTAATATTAGTTTTGCTTGAGTTGGAATTGATTTACAATCCTACTATTGATGTACAACAGGCAATAGTTCAAAGAGAAATAGGAGGAGAGATAATTATGCTTTGTCTCCTAATGGATATGGAAAATTTCAGTTAGCAAAACCGAATGAACGAAGGCTTTGTGTTAAGGAGCTAACTAGGGATCATCATCCTGATAGAGATGAGGAGAAGAATCGAGTGGAAGCTGCTGGTGGTTATGTTCTGGAGTGGGCAGGTGTGCCTCGAGTTAATGGTGAGTTGGCTATATCTCGAGCTATTGGTGACATTCCTTTCAAAAGGTATGGTACTAATATGTAATATAATGCTTAGTCCTTTCCTTTCCTTTCCTTTTTGGTTGCAACATGAAAATGATGTCTCGTATGCCAAGGCAATAGCATGACCATCATTAGTGATAGAAGTGATTAAGAAAATAAGTAGTCAAGGACAATTTAGCAAACAGAAACAAGCAAGGATAATACTGTGCCACATGCTGTGTCTCAAATATAGGCCATGACTTCTAACAGTGCATTTCATAGCTTTCGTCATCATCTCTTATCGTTTGTCCCTTAATTGGCAAAAGAGTATTAAGTGTAATTTGCAAAGGTTCAACATAAAGGTTGACAAATATTGCAACTTGGATGGCAACCTGCTTTCCAAACTGAATTCCAAATCTTTGGTCGCAGAAACTATCAGCAGGGGAGAGATTGACTGTAAAAGCTAAAAGCCTCTTGGTCATAAGATAAAACTTAGTGGTTTGTGCAGCTTAAACTTATGCTATAAATAAACAAATCTCCATAACTCTTGTAGATATAGGGAAAAGAGTAGAGGAGGGAACACTGGACATGCATGGGGAGGGAGGGGATTTAGTAGTGTTATGGAGAATTTAATCCATCTATTGCTGACATTGTAGGTCTCAGCAAAGTCCTTGAAAATTGCTGCTCTAATGTAGGGACAGTGGCCATATTGGGTAGGAAGGAGGAGCACCTTAAGTAGCTGTACCAGTCCATGCTCACAAACATGTCTCCATAAATTCAGTCATCTGACTATACTGTAGAATGCCAAATCAACAATTCATCCTCATGATAAAAATCCAATCAATCTACACATTGAGAATATCATGTAAGAATTAGCGCTTCCATGTGATATGGAGTTCCGTCTGGCATTGCTTGTGATGAATTTGACATCATGCAGTCACAATAATTTTGTTAATGTTGAAGTTTGATAGTTATTGTCTTAATGAAACAAAAAAGAACTAGTTTGTTGGATCCTTTTTCAAGAGAAGTTAGAGAACTGTAAACTTGTAATAGACCTAGTGTAGATTCTAACCATGCTTAAGAGATCTTAATTTCATTAGGGAGTTAATCTGCATCCATCAGCAGATGTACAAAGATAGTTTGACCATCTAGTTCCTTCAAAGAACAGAAGCAAGTAAGCTACTTGATGTTTTGCAAGTAATTGGGAGTGGTTATCAATAAGCCTGACTGAACTGTGCTTCCTGCATTGATGAGAAGAAGATATGCTAAATGGCCAAATATGGTCCCCCCCCCCCCCCTTCCAAAAAAAAAGAATAATATTAGGATGTGGAGATGGTGGCTTCTGAATGAATAGACTAACATGTCGAAACTGAAAAAAAATCTATTTTCTAGGACAAGTTGTAGTCTTCTTTATTTTATTCTACTATCAACTCCTTACCATCCATATGATGGCTACTTGATGTTTTGCAAGTAATTGGGAGTGGTTATCAATAAGCCTGACTGAACTGCGCTTCCCGCATTGATGAGAATAAGATATGCTAAACGGCCAAATATGGTTCCACAAAAAAAAAAGAAGGATGTGGAGATGGTGGCTTCTGAATGAATAAACTAACGTGTCGAAACTGAAAAAAATCTATTATCCAGGGCAAGTTGTAGTCTTCTGTATTTTATTCTACTATCAACTCCTTACCATCCATATGAAGGCTACACTAGAGTTCCAGAAGCAAACCTTGACAATGCTTCCCCTTGAGATAGTCTTTCACTTATGTGAGTCTACCCCCAACCCCAACCCAACCCAAAATAAGACACAGTCTCTTGCATATGGCTACCTCTTTTTTTTCCTTAGGTATTAATGTCAACAGATTTAGGCCACTTTTTCTTTCTTTTCTTATGTGCTAATGGCTAGAAATATTTATATTTATGCGGTCAACGGGGACTGTGTTGTTGAATAATCTTCAAATGAAAATAGTTATGGTTGATTGCTAATATAATTTAATAATCACTATAGATTAGTATAGTTGCCAATTTATGTGTTCTAGGATTACATTAAATTTCTTCAGTTCTTGCCATCATTATAATGAAACGAGTACTGACATTTTTATGTGTCATTTTATCATTGTCAGATATGGTGTCGTATCCACACCCGAGGTGACCGATTGGCAATCTATTAATAATAATGACAGTTATTTACTTGCTGCATCAGATGGCATCTTTGAGAAAATGACAACACAAGATGTTTGTAATCTGTTATGGGATGAAAAACTAAGAACCAATGTAAAGTCAGATGCTAGACATTCAGCAATGCATTCTTTGGCTGACCACATTGTAGAAGCAGGCTTTAGGAAAGGTACAGTGGACAACATGGCAGTCATTGTTGTTCCACTTGGATCTAGTGGTAAGTCTGGATTCTTCATTGAAGATGAATGTGATCGCGAAGAAGCCTTTCACTTATCATATTTTTTACTGCCGAAGGCAGTGGACAGAGAGTCAGGTAACTGCCTAGAGTTATATCATAATTTTGACTTGATAATATTTGTAGCTGCTTGAATTTCTTACATTCTTAGTTCTTATGCTTGAAATTTTGCTTTGTTGCTGATGGCTCTTTTTTAATAATTCAATTAAGGGATCTAGAGGTATCCTGAGTGATTTTTTTCTTCTTGCACATGCTTACCTGCTTATCCTTTTTCTATTGAGGCAAATCACAGTGCAAGAACTATATATATTATGTAGAAAAAACATTAGTGGGAATTAGATACTTCTAAAGTTGGAATGAAAATTAATCTTGAAAAAGAAATGTCAGGGCCTAAGAAGTGGAACTCAGTTCATAGGACTCATAAAATATTGTAACTAATGAAAAGGCACAGTAGAGGAATAAGCAACATGAGGAGAGGTCAGCCTTGAAAACTATGGGGTTAGAATTTGAATTTAAAAATTTTCAATTTAGAATTTGAAACATAAGGTATGTCACTTGCAGTTGCAATGACTTACTCTCTAAGATGCACTCCAAACTGCAGGACTTCCGTTCTTGGAAAACCATATGATAATGGGCTCTCTAATTATAATAGTGTCTCCCACGAGCAAAATTAACCTACACGTTTGCTATGTCATTAGCGTGGAAAAGTCACAATAAAAGCAATTTTTGATTTAAAATTGGACTGTAATTTTGACCACTTAGAACAAAAAAATAGAGCCAGTTGCAAGTTGTGACAAAAATATACTAACTTATATTGTATACTAAACTATTGAATACATTTTGTATTTAAAATTAATTTTGTGGAGTATTTTGTGTCTAAGGGTAATTTTGAGAGTGGATGAGTTTAAAAATAAATAGGGGCAATACTTTGAGTTTATAGGGAGAAAACTCATCTAGAATTTGTGATGCGGCAACATTAGTATAAAACGGGTTAAAGGAAATAACGGTTTGAAGATTTGTTTCAAACTACACCAATGACTTTGAACAAAAACACAAGGAGTAATAATAAAATATAGGGTGTTTTTTAGTATCAAAAATAAAATATACTGACCAAAATAATAATAAGCAATTTATACCGCATATCAAACTGCCGAAATACAACGTGATTTAAAATTCAATGGAATATTTTGGGATTTTGGAGTGATTTTAAAAGCAAATGGGTATGAAAGTAACTGTAAGTAAAATTTGAATTTAGAGGGAAAAGGCCCTTTGAGAAGTTAGTGAAATTAAAGTAAATCGGTCTTAAGACTTTGGTTTATGAGCCAAAAACTCATCTACAATTTATAGCGTCGCATTATGTGAAGAAAGAAAAAAATAATTACTTTATATTTCGGGTCTAAGAGTGACTTAGAAAGTGGGTGGTTTTAAAAATAAATGGGAGTAAAACTTTGGAGTATTTTGGAAATAAAAAGTTAAAACTTTGGGTTTATAAGCACAACTTTGAATGTTGGTGGGTTCAAGAGTAAATAAAGGGGAACTATGGATGTAGAAGGAAAAAAATTATTTTTTTGGGATTAGTAGGTGCACAGTTGTTGTGGATAGTGCATAGTTACAGTACAATTCTTAATCGTTTTAGTATACACGAACAAGTTGACTCGCACGACGTCGTAATATTAGTTTAATTTTAATTTTTTACTCTATTATGTAACTGAATTTTTGTATTAACCTGTCATCTTATAAGTTTGGTTTATGAGCAAAAACTCATCTACAATTTATAGCGTTGCAACATTTATGTGAAGAAAGAGAAAAAAATAATCACTTTGTATTTCAGGTCTAAGAGTGACTTTGGAAGTGAGTGGTTTTAAAAATAAATGGGAGTAAAACTTTGAAGTAGTTTTGGAAATAAAAAGTTAAAACTTTGGGTTTAAAGGCAAGAAGCACAACTTTGAATGTTGGTGGGTTTAAGAGTAAATGGAGGGGAACTATGGACTTAGAAGGAAAAAATAAAAAAAGTTATATTCTTTTAGGGTTAATAGGTGCACTGTAGTTGTGAAAAGTGCATAGTTACTGTTCAATTCCTAATTGTTTTAGTTTACACAAACAAGTTGACTCATGCGATGTCGCAATATTAGTTCAATTTCAATTTTTACTCTATTGTGTAACTGCATTTTTTATATTAACCTTTCATCTTTTAAGAACACATTAAAAGCAATTTTCTTAATAGATGTTTTGAAAGTATAATAATAATAATGATACTAAAAAGAGAATTGCAAAACCTTTTTTATTTGGTGATTATCCAAACCAATTCACAAACTATGATTTAAGAGGTCTATTACATTAAATCATATTAGTTAATCAAAACTAAATTAATCAACCACCATATAAATTCCAAAATATGACATAAACTTCCTAACAATGGTAATAGGACATAAACAAGCATCTGATACGTACAAAATTTTGCGTTTAAAAATAAATGAGATAAAACTATTGGTTTATAGGTAATTATGTTAATGTTTGGTTTATCTCTTTTTAAACCAATTGCAGATACTTCTATGATTTAGACACCTATCTCGATTGATTCCCGTGGTCAAATGTAAAAAGCAAAGATATCATCATCTTTCCTTCGTGAAACTCTGGGAAGCATACTTATCCAGATAGTAGCAGCATGAAAATGCAAGAAAGGCTGAGAAACTTACCATGTCTTCATACATGACTACAATTAAATAACATGTAATAGAATAAATACTTCCATCAAAATGTTGTCAAATTATTGCATCCATTAATCTAATATTTGTATGCATTCTTTTAACTATCCACGACGTGGCCCGAGATATCAGTTGATATATACTTTTATAAGCCTCTGCTCGAAACTATATGGTCTTAATATCCTTTATATTTTTGGTAATTTTTGGCTATATATCACTGATATGGCTAATATATGAGCCAATATATTGACCAATATGTCCTTTTAGATGGCTTGTTGCAAAATAGTATACTGACTTTGACAATTTTTAGGCACTATATCACGATTTTCCTGATATATCAAGTGACAGTTCGGTCTAAAAAAATCGATTGAATGTTGCAATGTCGATTTGGATGTTTATTTATTTTGAAAGAATGATTAGTGATCCTAAACATATATTATTTATATTTTCTATGCTTAGATTTTATCAAGCATGGTTAAATTACATTTTAGGATGTTGTATTACATATGAACATCATCCAACATGACACTCCGATATTTACTAGATATCCCGATATCCGCAATCAAATATGAATTTTGTTCATCCGGTATTTCCCCGATATCCGATTTTTAAAGCATTCTTTGTATGTTGTCGTGTAGCATATAGGTAAGTAGATTAACAATTGTCCGCTTAACATATATTAATATATAACATTATATTGACATAACATATATAAACTTGCAATACAAAAGCAAAATTTCAGAAGTATAGTAACAATGAAAATTTGAACCCACAAGTATTGAATTATGCATGTAAATAAACTAACAGTAAGAAGATAAGGGCATTCACAAAAGGAAGCAATGGTGTATATGATGATGTCAAACAATGAAAGAGTGACAATGCTAATAAAGTCTTTCGTACATTATTATTGATAATACTTCATACATCTATATTGATCGTCATTATCAAATTTGCCCATTGTGTTAAGGTCATGTACAAAAGTACCTTAACAATTTACACAGTACCAATTTGGATGCACATAGTTACTAAATCATAGTTTACCCAATTCACAAACTTATAGAAATCAGCTTGGTGATATCTATGGTAATCTAATCTATCTTATTCAACACATGCGTAGACATTGATAAAAAAATGCTGAAATATCGACCACCTCGCAACAAATCATTTTTTATCATATCTATCATGCAGACAAAAGTATAGAAGTTTTTCATTCAAATTATGCTTCTAGTTGATACTACAAGACTAACCTTTCCATTTATGCGAATGTAAACCTGCCATTGATGAATAACATGAGTGGTGCTAACCTTTGTTTTTGTCGTTCTTGAAGTCGAGGTTAATCTCTCATATCCATTCTTCTAAGTCCATAATTGTTTTATAACTTTTTCAACTGAATGTCAAATTTTCTTTTTCCCTAGTTATTTGATTAAGTTGAGATTCACACAAGAAGGGTTCTTAAAAGAGCATGACTTGACTTCATTGGAGGTTTTCGCCCTTTCTCTATTTTCTATTTTTTGACAATATATGGTCTTAGATAAAATATATTGAAATCCTTTAAAATTTCATTTCTAGATAGTTCATGTATGTAAATTTAACACTTTATTTTCAATTTTTGAACCTGAAGTTATGATTGGACTGTTATTATCCATATATTTGGATATTATTACTAGGAACATAGCTCAACTTAATAAACAATCAACTCAAATAAATTTTTGCCATACCGGATTGAACTGTCCTTAGCGTTGAAATTGAACTGGACTAATCATTTCAGTCAAATCTGTTTGGGTTTGGATTCACTGATAATGAATGGACTATTTTTATCCTAAAAAAGATGAGAATCAAGGAATCAATGGAAGATGCTAGTCAAAGGATTAATGGTAGAACAATGCAGATCAACCGGAATAATGAAATTAAGGAAAAAAGGACATTTGTGGAACAACAAAAGAAAGTGGATTTTATTGAATCGAGATAATAATTAGGTTAATTAGTTTGACTAAATTCTTTTAAAGCTAAACAGAGTCGAAAATCTAAAACTGAACAAATTCGTTAAAATTTGGTCGATTTGGTTAATTTAATTGGTTCAAACTGATTAATATTATACCAACAGACCCTTCAAGGTAAATATATTGTTTGGACCTATAGGTAAGTAATAATTGTTGAAACTTCCCATCATTTGTTTCTTTTCCGCTTAGGGTTTGCGAATGAGTTTAGGTTTGATTTGGGTTTTGGATAGATTCGGGATATATCAGGGAGGGGGGTAGGGATAGAGCAATAACAGGGGAGCCGATAAGATGAAGGGTAGAGCGATCTTGGGGGCTAGGACTCAAGATAATTTAAGAAAACAAATGCTCAAATTTTTTAGCTTTTTTTTTTTGGTGGGGGGGGAGGGATCAGTGGGGTTGCGAAGGGACAGGGGCAACCTAAGCTATGATGAAGAAGTGGTTGCAAGGGTTGAGAATAACGTTGTTTTCTTTGAAATGATGGAGCTGAAGATAGAGTACAAGTACATATGCTATTTCGCATATTCTATGTTAACTATTAATGTAATCTCTCTTGCTTGCACCAATGATAGAAAGAAGACAAAGGAGGAAGATTAAATTTATTGAATAATTAATTCGAAAGATTAGAAGGGAGTAAGGGTGAACCCAAATTTGATAATTGAGAAGATTGCAATAGTTTGCTGGGAGAGAATAAGGAAAGCGTATACTAAAATGGAAAAAAATGAGAGTGTGGGTATGCTTCGTTTTCGATTGTCTCCTATAGTAGCTAGTTGTGCCATTTCTCTTGCTTCAACCAAGACTAAAAAGGAGAGGGATGAGGGTTATCTATTGAATAATTCAATTCGAAAAGGGAAAGAGGGTTAGAGACGACTTAAGGTGGGATGACTTGGGGGTTGCAATAGTTTGCCGAAGATGAAGATAAGGAAGGGTTTGTTGAGACAAAAGAAGAAGGTAGTGTTAGTTTCTATACTATTAAGGTGTATTTTTCGCCCGATGCTAACTCAATATCTTTTTTTCCCACTTAGGATAAAAAGAAAAGAAGGCACCTAGTAATTTTCTTGGACTATTAATTCGAAAGAGATGGAGGGAATATGGGTGACCCGCGGTGGGTTGATTGAGAGGGCTGCAATCGGTTGGATGTGGGAATAAGTGATTGTTGAGATGATGAAGATGAAGATGGAAAGTATGAGTAGTCATGCTATTAAGTTGTATCCTACGCTAGGTGTTAAATAATCTCTTTTGCTTGCACAAGCGAATAAAAAGAACAAAAATAAGTGAATTTTATTGGATAATTAATTCAAAAGAAGGGTTATGCATCATTTAGATTTACAAGAGAGAGCGAGGAGAGAGATCACTGAATGAGGATTATTTTTTGTAATAACTAGATTGGAATAATCTTTATCAATTAATCTGATTCAAGTCATATTTAAACAGAAAATACCAAGATGAACCTATTTTGCGTGACTTGAAGAATTTGGGCATTTTTTTTATAATTCTACATTCTAGGAATTTATTTAAAATTAGACATGCTAGGACATCATATCATAAAACTAAAAACCTAATAAATAAAGCTCCATCTCAAGTTTGGTTTTTGAAATCTAATATATTACTAAATTTACCAATTACTCAGTATGTTATTTTCAAAAGATTTTGTTAGAATTCTATCAAAGTTGACTGGCATATTCTCACATATAGACTCCCATTCAGTAGTCTTTCTAGGTATAAAAGTGCTTTGGTTGCTTTAGGAGTTGTCCATTAAGTCTTATTCAAATAACTAGTAATTTTAGTTGAACCTTCGTGTGAACTTTGGATTCATTCTTCTCGCTGATTGAAGATCTCAAGGTACTAGTCATCTTACCCCTGTTAGGTCCTTTTACAATTAGTATCTAGTTCAATTGAGTGTTGCTGCATCATAAACAAAATTTGTTTTGCAATAATACCCAGACGATGATGCAAGATGCCTGTTTTTAGTAAATACTTAAATATACTCTTCATTGCTTTTTAATTTAAAGCCTTTATAATCATCTTTGTTGCATGATTAATTCATAGATGAGGAGATATGCATACCAATTACATATAAATTCTTGTGACGAATAAACTAGCAATAGCACATGAACGATGAAATTAATTTCATTTCGGGCAACATTATCTCTTTTTTTATTCTCTTTTAAATGTGTGGCTGGTGGGTTTGAACCCAGATTAAATGTCTCTTCCATTGCATCAAAACTCTGAAGTTGAGAGTTTAAGGTTATAACTTTATACTCAACATGATTAAAGTTATCATACGATATCATATCTTGATCCTATAATGTTATGTAGGATCATCCTCATCAGTGCCATTAGTAAATAATGTCTAATTTAAGGTGTACTATGTAGCACAACTTACATTTTATGAACTTTAATCGCATGTTAGTTGTAATATATGGAGACCAACAAAGTAAACCTACATCTAGGTACATCATATTCATCCTTGTCGAAGTCTCTAATCTGATTTTATAGAAGTATCACTTAGACAAACTACCCATTGTTGTTGGTAGGTAAATATTGAGCATTAGTGTTTTAAAAAGCAAGTGAAAGCGCCGCTCAAGTGCTTAGAAAAGTGAAAGCAATAGCTTGTTGCTCTGCTAAGGCCCAGAGGGGCCTATTAAGCGTATGAGCCACGTTTGTTTTGTAAAGGTGAGCCCAAAAGCGCTTTCAAGACAAAAAGGACCCAAAGCATTGGTTTTCATCACCCTATTGGAGAAAATTGGACCAATCATTTTAAAACCTGATTTGAAAATGAATCTCACCCATTGCAGACTCAAATCCCTCAACCATCATTTGTCGCTTTCAACCCTTTAACCTTACTCTCTTGCTCCTCATCGCCGCCTCCTACCTCCTTCTCATCTCCACCGTTTCCTCCTTATCTTAAGAAATCGTTACATATGCATTTGAGAAAATTTCCTCCATTTTTTATTTTTCTTTATAATTTTCGTAATTTTCTTAATTTTTCTTAGTTTTTTTGAATTTCTGCTTAAGCCTCAAAAAGCCTAAGCAACACCTTGCCACTTCGCTCCGTCTTCTGCTTTCTACAATATTGTTGTGTACAACGAAGAGTTCTAGTGATAAACTCATTTAAGAAAGTTTGATCTTGTATTCAAGTTTCTTCAGTGATTAGCCCTTAACGAGATGCATTGAAGAGCTAATATATGCCTCCTTTGAGGGTCACAACAAATTTATGTTGCATGGATACGTCTATCATGAAGCCGTATCCATACCCGACACTTCTCGCACCTGTACCCGACACACCTTGAATATATGTATATATTTACTTAGACCTTTACTTAATTATGTGATATATAGTTTAATTTAAAACACTCAATTATATAATACATAATAAAATAAATGTTAAAATGTTATAGAAATTTTGATTCCCGTAACATGTGAATGACAAGAACAATATTGATCTCATGTAAGTTACTAAATTTTAATATATATATATATATATATATAGAGCAAAACTTCTGTCAACTTAAGTGGACGTCCACTAAGTTTCTTATCTATTGATGATCACTTGATTGAGCTACATTGTGGATGATCCGTTCCGTTCAACTTGATCTACATATTCTAAAACCTCAACACACCAAATTTGAGGTGAACCCGTCGTAGTTTGACCCTTCATCCACTCGTATCAATTTTAACGGTTTCGAGTGAATAGAACTTTTTACATGGCTCGACGGAGGGTCAAACCACAACTAGTTCACACCAAATTTGGTGTGTTGGGGTTTTAGAATATGTAGATCAAGTTTAACGGAGTGGATCATCCATAATATAGCTCAATCAAGTAATCATCAATGGATAAGAAACTTAGTGGACGTCCACTTAAGTTGACAGAAGTTTTGCTCTATATATATATATATATATATATATATATATATATATATATATATATCTGTGTGTGTGTGTGTGTATCTATATATAGATATGTATATACATATATATGTATACACACACATGCGCACACACACATATAGATATAGATATATACATATACATATATATACATATGTGTGTGTGTATATATATACGTATATATCTATACATATATGTCTATACACGTATATACATTATATATCTATATGTATATAAAGGTCTAAGTAAGTGTGTATATACACACATATACATATATAACTGTGTGGCTGTACACTACTTTTTATAAGTTTGCTGTGCTCCATACCCCCACCCGCACATATACCCGTATCCTTACTCGTACTCATAGGCATGCAACAGGTAGTAACCAGTATAAATTGATTATGGGTAACAACTTTTCACAGCCATTTTAACAACAAAAATTTCATCCTTTTTTATTTTTTTTGTTGATCTAGAGGCTTGAAAAATTTATTTGATGCAATATTCATAAAGAAGCTACAGTTGACTGTTTTAACTGTTTTAATGCATTAGCTATTGTATGTCTACACTTTCCAATGATGCTTTTTGTTACCATTTGATGGAACCTAATTATCATTTTTGGATTTTGTTTTTTAATGTACTTGCAGACTTTAAGGAGGTAAGTAGTTTAGGTTGACCCCCCTAGCTATTCTGAAAACTGTAAGAAATTCACTGGAAGCTACAGATATTGATGTTGCTTTTTATCACTTGACTTCCATCTAGACATGCATTATTATAATTTGCATTTGTATAGTTGGTATATTCTCATCACTATCATATGCACAATGAATTTTTTTGGTTCGGATTTCTTTGGAAATTTCCCATCTAGGTCAATTATATTTCTTTGGTGCATGTTTGTTATCTTATCTACTGTGAGGTACTAACTCTTACCCTCAACATTTTCCCTATATCTGCAGCAAATAATGAATACAGTACAAGTCTGATGCCAATGGAGTATTATAATCGAATCATATCAAAGTTTAATCGTCTGCTGGTACATTAAAACTTATACTGGGTTTTTACTTCCATTTGATAATGTTGAGTTTCAGATCCTTTTGTTTCTAAAATTAATGAAGATTTCTACAATCATTGTTTCTCACAAGCTGAGAGGTTTATGCAAACTCAATATTTGTTGATTGATGATTTACTAAGATTTTTATTATGTGACAAATGTTACTTTGAGTCCAGTTTTAGAATCAATGGCTGCTCAGACCCTGTTATTTTTGTTTTCAAGATTTTTATGGTGGTAGTCTAATTTGATTTTGACATTATACTCAGGCATGCTGAAGTGGCACGAATCTATAAGGTTCTTAAACAATTAATCTAAATGAAACTCAAGGAAGCAAATGCAGACCAATACAAAAGAACAGCAGAAATTAACTATAACTGAGGCAACTATAAATCTACAACTGGTAATCTAAATGATAATAGAACCTACAATGACGATGAGCAAGTTCAACCGAAACCTGAAACATATGAGAAGTCCCACATAATTCATAGGATCTCTAAAAATCTCATAGTTGTCATCAATTCAATATATGAGCTTTTGGATTAGTAATTTTTATTGGCCACATAATCTCATACTGTGAGCTGGGATTGGGATTACCATTACCAGTGGTAGAAGGTTATGCTGCTTGGCATCAATGGAGGTTATTCGGATCATCGGGTTGACATCGATGGTTATCGAGGCGCTTGATCTGGTGTGATAGTTGTTTGGTAGGTGAAGACTGTCACTAAGGTTCCTTCTTTCTCCTTATAAGCTTTTCAGTCCCATTGTCTAGATATGCAGTTTTAGCATTTACAGTTATATGCTCTTGTTCGAAATCTATCCACTGCCATCATAGGGGTATTCAATGTGTTTTGGCAATGTTACACCCTTGATTGAACTGATAATCTGAGCATATAAATTTGTTATCATCATTATCTCTAGTGTCATTATGCCAACAGTTTTACGATCTGATCTTTTAAATTCATGGCATATGCCTTTTTCTCTAGTCATCTTGTTTTCAGCAGCCAAGCTTCATTTCCAAGATCACTCCAACCAAAGCCATTTTGGTCAGACATTATTCTTGATCCTGTGAACAGGATATTGCTAGTCTTTCATATGACTTGATCAATGAGGTCGTAGAGTCCCTCATTCACGAGGCACTAGATCCTTGATCTTTATTTTACATGTTGAGCTCAACGTAATTCTTCAGCAGTTGGATGCAATGTGAAGTTTAGTCTTTAGATGTGTCCGTCAAACTGCACACAACTTGCTTATTCTGTCCCATGGTCCACTTTGTGGAATTTTCAGTTTTCAGTCATTACTCAATATAATAGTTAAGATGTAATTTTGGTTAACAAATCTAAAAGCAGATAGTACATAGTTTCTGTATCTTAACAAACTCCATACGGAGCAAATGGAGCATGACTTAAATATGTATCATCTACTGTAAGTTTCAGTATAATGACTGCTTTAACTTTCCTAGTTAAAATGAATTATTATGAGGATCATGTTCCCTTATGTGTTCAATCTGTATCTTTTGTTGTTGTAGGTGGAAACGGAAAATAAAACCCTAGGTTGTTTCTATCTGTCTGAAAATCTTAATGAGGATGTGGATTATGTTTTTGGAGCTCCAAAGGACTATGAAAGAGAGGAAGTCCATGACTTGCATCCCCCATTTCCAGAATCTCTTGGTTCTTACCACAGTAAGTGCGGCTGATCTTGACATTTTAATTTAAGCCCGGATTTTTCTTCATGCTTCTCTGCTTACCCCTTCAGCTCTTAGCCTGAGTGTTTGAGAACTTATTATCTTACTGCTTAGTGAATCTTGATTGTTGATATTAGCATTAGTGCGGATTAGGAGTTTGGATTTTTGAGTTCTTGCACAGATACTGTTAGTGGTTCATTGTGTAAATCAAATGTGAAGCTTATAGATGAGCTTCATATACTGTCATTATACATAGCAAGATTCTTTCTATATATGTTCCTATAACTGCTGCTTTATCATTGATAAGATTTGGCTATGGAAAAGAGGAAGCAAAGGAGTTCCTCAGTGAAATATGAGATACATATGTGCGTTAACCTGATTCACAATGATCAACAATCATTTTATTATCATATCTGAAAGTTCTCTTTTGAGTATATTTGGTAACTCTGATGCAGCTTAATGGGATAACTATTTTTTAATGCCCACATGGAGAGTATTGCATGAGATATGGGAGCAACTGAAAGTTTGCTATTCTCATGTTATCTTATTAGGATTAGTGAATTCCAGGGTTATCCATATAGGGAAAGTGTCATACATACCCCCACACAACATCAATATTAATTAAACAATAATAAAATCATGACATGTGACAGTTGGTCACATATCCTCTTGACCGAGGACTTATGAACCAAATTTCAATATGCCAACAATATTTCCAAATATACGATCCACAAACTTGAAATTCCATATTCCCATACTTCCTTAATCCATACATTATATTGTTTGTCACCAACTATACATAATCAAAAGTAGATTATATATCATTCTGGAACCCTTTAATTTATAGTAGAAGTCTTAGCCAAATATATACATTGCAAAATTCTTCTGAGAGGGACCACTCCATTACCAAAATACTGGCTAGAGGACTGATTGTAGCTACTCGATCCAGTTCACATCTTCAAATCACGCGGGACGCCATTCCCCAAGTCACACTAAGCTGAAATGCTGTTTATATTTAGGGTGAGCTTTCCATGTGCTCAATATGTGGTACATATTTAATAATTTTTGTATAAAAAACCATGCATATCAAAAAATGCATCACTTAATTTAGAAAGGCATGTTTGTAAACTTTGTCAAAGCAGGAAAACCATGCATAGAATTTAAGCAATGTCATGCCCTATCTTGACAACTAGACTGCCTACAACGGTGATCTGCCTAAAACGGTTGCCCACCGTGATGCTCTGACTTTTATGTCTTAACTAAACCAAATTACGTACAATGGCTGTCTGTCTGTCCTAGCATGCCTATAAGCGGCAATTTGCTCGTCATAACAACCTACTTCTTGGATAGGCCTGTGACTTAATTTCTGGGTGTACACCATTGCCCAACAAACAACGCAACATATACTTCAACATAATTCAGATATTATATACCCAAACCCTCTCATCATCTATAATATACGACGACCAAAATCAATTGTCCAATATGAGAATATCAACACTTCAAGGCTACAACAACAACAAAGTATCTTAAACAATATCATTAATATGCATCTCATGCTTATATAACTATGAAAGATGTAATTCTCATGCAGGAGATCAGTACAACATAAATTAAAGAACATGTAATCCCCGCTTACCGATATTTCGTAAAATTCCAAGTTCTTCACGTGGTCCATTACGAGGTACTTCTAACTCTCACTAGGTTTTCTTAGTGCAAACACATAGAGCATTATCAACTTCCAATACAATCCATGGACTTATATTTATACAAAGGTATTATAGTTTATCTTGATTTCTTAATTGCTTTAAGTACAACTTCAATCCTAAGTACTAGTTGAGGTTCACAATTACATATTCCTAACTTCAGGTCTGATAAATCTTATATAAGAGCTACCACTAGTGGTAGCTTATCTTGATGCAAGGTACATCAATTCTTATTCTTTCTCCAATGAGTTTATTTTCAAATAGGGATTAGCTTGATGAACTCTCAAAGCTCCCAAATAATAAACACATTAACAGATTACATGCTTTCCTTAGGAAGCATACTCATAGGAATGTCCTTAAGAGGATTTCACCATGCAAGAGAACACTAAATATACCCTAAGAATGGTCATGATCATGTTGTCCAGGCTTGAGTCTTAAAACTGTTTCATATGTGAGATAAATTCTATTAACACTTTATGCCTTCATTACCTCATCCATCAGACGCAAACTTGTGCTATCAGTTCTTGGCCCTTTAATTTTTTTCCTCTTTCTTTTGTTTTGATGTGGTGAGTAGAGACTACTAACAAGCTAGAGCTGCATATTGATTAACTAAAAATACATGTTATTAATCATTAATCAAATTTAGATTCTATATATGATCCAATTAAAACATAGACTGAAGTTTGGTTTGATATTCATCTAACTGAAATCAGCAACAGAATTTTGTGAAGAAAGGGATCAATTGAAGGCTTGAATCACTGCTGTAAAGTTCCTACTGCAGTCAGCTATTAAGGACTGGTATGGACAGGATTTTTGGTCAGATTGGATGGCTAAATCTGAAGCAAAAGCTTGTTCATATGGTTCAGCTGAAGTGTTTATATTGAAGATTGGATTAATTATAAAAATTAAAAAAATAGATGCCTGATTTACAAAAAACATTGATTACCCTACTCCTTCCTTCCTTTCTCTTTATATTCTTTTGCCTCTGTTGTAGGTCCTCTGTCTCGTCTCCTCTCCTCTTCTTTTTTTCCTTTCTTTCACTGTAGCTGCTGCAGCCCTTCTTCGTCTTCCCTTTTATTTTTTCTCTCTCTCTCTCTCTCTCTCTCTCTCTCTCTCTCTCTCTCTCTCTTCTTCCTAAAACTACTGTTCTAGTTCCTGCTCTCTTTCTTGTTTTCCTTTTTATCACCCTTTTTCTTTTCTTGCCCCTGAAGGAATGAGTAGAGAGGGGAGAACTTGCTACCTGCCTTTACACATGTCAATGTCCTTTTAATCCTAGCATGCCACCTCCACTCCCTCATTTATCCCTGAAACCCATGTCAAGTGATTCTTTTGCAAAACTCTTCTTAATTCTTATATTTTCACATAACTACTAAAGTTCCTATTTGCAAGTATATGTTCCAAAACACACACATTCATTATTTTATTTCAGAACGCACTAATTAATAATTGGGTGTTACAGAAAGAATCTCGTAGGGTCCATTTAACTGAAGGTTTACTTGGTGACAAGTAGTATGCTAAGAAAATATTTGTTCAAAGGTAATGTTTTTCCCTTTTGGTGCTGACCTGGAAAAGGGTGAAGTACAGAATTCAAAAGGAAGGGAAGGTGAACTAATGTTTTGACACAGATAAAAAAGATTGCATAACTCTAACAGTAACATCCATGGGATGGAAGGTAAGAAAAGGTGCCGAACTAAAAAAAACATATCTGAAGAGAGATGGAGATAAAAGTTAGATACAGAGAAAGATACCTGAAGGGTGAAGCTGAGCTCTGTACTTCTAAAATACTATCTGAACTGATTATTCAACTGAATTCTTTAAATAACTTTTGAAAGATCTTTCAGACTAATAAAAATTTCTTAACCTGCCTTGAAATTATAAAAAAGGATGCTAGATTTGGAAATAAAACTGCCCTTTGTATCTCATAGAAACCTTAAAACTACTAACTCGTGCCTTGTGAATGAGTCTGCACAGTCAATATGCGGTTAGCTGATTGCTTGTATGCCATTCAATTTTCAGGCTTATTTATGAAAAAGCAAAATTCTGTTCCAGAAAGAAATTTCACTGATGCAATAAAAAGACACTCATTTAATGAGGATAAATCTAGTAAGGCGTTATTAGTGGTGAAGGTATGGAAGTTACTTACGCGAGTCCCAGGTCAATTCCCCTCTCACAAACAAAAAAATAAAATAAAAATGAAAGCTCCTTAGCAATGTTACATTAAACGTTGGGCGCTCCTGGGCGCTGGACTTGGCGCCCAGCGCTTAGACGTCTAGGCGGGCGCCTAAGCGGTTTCTGGGCGGTTTTTTTCTTCTGGGCGGTTTTTTTTTTAATTGTGATACTTGAAGATAAATATATATACTCAATCAACAATACATAAATACAAAAATACCAACACAACACATATGCTATCCAAAGTATAATAGTCAATCAAAGATGCATACATACTAAATGACAAGGCATATAATATCCAATAACTAGAAGTTTATTATCCTCACAAGTAATAAGAATCTATCAAACCTGAACCAATCAACACAGATTTTTCCTTTTTAAGACTTGAACCCAATAAAAATTATCAACACAGTTACACAAGCCTACAACATCAAATTAATGAGAACCCAAAACTTGAAGACGAGCTCGGAATAAAAAAAAGGAAATTGAAATCGAAATAAAAAGGATTAGGGTTTTACGAAGCGAACTGTCAGCTAAAGACGAAGACGAAGACGAACTGTCGAAGACGAAGACGAAGACGAAGACGAGCTCGGTTGGAGACGAAGACGAGCTCGGTCGGTCGGAAGTCGTCGAGTCAAAGGCGAGCTCGGTCCGAAGTCGTCGAGTCGAAGACGAGCTCGGCAGGTGAGATCGAAGACGAACTCGGTCGGAAGTCGTCGACGTCGAGTCGAAGACGAGTCGAAGACGAGTCGAAGACGAAGACGAGTCGAAGACGAGTCCGAAGTCGGTTGGAGACGAAGGTGAGATCGAAGATTAGGGTTTTTATTTTTGAGTTTGGGTTTTGGGTATTGGGTATCGGGTTTTGGGTTAGGCTTTTTTTTTTTAGGTTCGGGTTTTTGGGAGCGCCCAGCTCAAAATTTGGTTCGGGAAAAGTGGGGCGGGCCGCTTAAGCGGCCCGCTTATCCCTGGGCGGCCGCCTAGGCGCTCCCAGCGCCTAGACGTGGCCGCTCAGGGCTAGGCGACACGCTCTGGGCACCGCCTCCGCCTAGGCGGGCGCCTAGGCGGCCGCCCAGAGCGTGTTTTACAACACTGCTCCTTAGAATAAGTGAAGCTGTCTATGAACACATTTTCTTGTTTTTCATATAGCTGTCTTAAATTCGTCACGCTGCTGTGTAAAGCCACATGGCTCGTAGTAGTTCTTCTAAATTATACGATATATTATTATATCAACAAATTCAAGTTTTACAGGACTGTATCATTATATAAACAAATACCGTATTATTTACAGTTTTCTTTTATCCATTGTGACATTGAGGAATTGTATCTTTTGTTCGCAATGTTAGGTGGTGGAACTCTGGACTTGTACAAAGAACATCAATTATGTTGGCACTTTGGGATTCATGAGGGAGATAAAGGGCAATGTGTTGGTCCTGAAGTTTTTGGAAAGTTCCTTGGTTTGCTTGATTCAATTCCTTATAGTGATACTACAACCAATTCTTCGGAGTCTTCAGGTCACTTACCTGATTTCAGGTGTGTACTTTTGTTCTTTAAAAGCTATGACATATATTTTATACGAAACTGACTGCTGTAAGATCTATATTGTAACGTATAACATAAATCAGGCATTTTACCATGGTTGTTGAAGTTTGTAATTATCAACAGATAATGCAGAAAGGGGCAAATTAATTTCTAAACTATTCACTATAAAATACGGGCAAAGTGAGCTTCCCTATGTAGTAAACATTTAAATTATCTTATAGCCAAAGACTTAAGAGATTGAAAATAAATTGTAGAGCTTGTATCTATGTCTATTTAATTTGAAGGTTTGGTCATATCCATACTGTATCGTTACCCTTAATTTTGAAAATTTGTTGCATCTGCATTATATGTGCCTGTGTGCCTATTTATATGAATGAATGCCTATTTCTAGTTATTCTATTATCCATGCTGTATTCATGCCCCATAATGTTGATCATTACTTGCATTGCGAACTTTAGCAGTGTACCTGCATCACATATGCTGGTCCTTTGCTTTGCAACCATATCTTTGATCTATGGAACCAAAATATAGACAGGAAAAAAAGAATACTCATTAGTTGAAGTCTGGTTCTCAGAGCTTCAGTTCTTTATAGCCTTAGAGGCACATCATGGCTTAACATTGAAAAACTTGACAAAATACATTCATATTGTTTCAAGAAGAGTGTCCAAATGCAAGAAACATAGGTTTTTGATGGAAATATTCCTGTATTAGGTACATATTAGATGGATAAAGATTTTGTTATCTGGCATATATCTCTCATAATTACATGTCGAAAACTTTGAAAATATATTCTATTTGTGTAGGATATTATTGGATATGCCAGTATCTTGTTAATGAATATCAAGTACTCCCTTTTTTTGGTTGATAACCTAGCCTGGAATCAAACCCAAGACTGGAATCAAGTACTCCTTTTTATCCTATGATTTAAAGAACAGTAAGAAGTTAGTTCCACCAGCAGTAACAGCTGAAAATAGAAAACAATGATACTACTAGAAAATACAGTTTCAATATCGTGTTTCTTACTTAATGTACTGTGGGTGTCATTATCATTTTATATTGATATTTGATTCCTGCGTTCACGCTTCATTATCACTTGTGCACACAATTTTATTTTGTTGTGCCATTTCTGTTGCTACTGAATTGGGTTGTTGTTCAGGTTAATGTCAATGTAGAGAAAGCTATGTGCTATTACATCTCAGTCTCAGTCTCTTTTACCTGTGTAAGAATGCGTTTCTGCAGAGGAGAATTTATTTGAGATACTCTACTAATGATTTATCAGTGGACATGTCTTTGGCCAACTAAATTTAAGGACACCCATCTACCGCTGAATTAAATGGCTTTAGTCTTTTATCTGTTTGTTGGTCTCTTTGTATATTTCCTATCAAAATAGGGTCAACTAGGGAGCTGAAAACAGAGTTGAGAAAACTTTGCAGAGTAGTTATCAATTACCAACCTAAAGCTGAGGTCTATTCCACACCACCAATACAGGTTTTTGCCACAGCCATACATCTCCTATGAATGTTGATTAGGAGCACTAGTCAATGTCCGTCAAACGTTTTAAATTGGTTGCCTAGGTCTCTTCCTAATACAGTGACCATTGCACAAGTGCATGCAGACGTGCGCATCCACACATGCACCACACTCTGCATACATGAGGCTGTCAGTGCATGCATACAGGTGTGCATAGGTGTTTGGGAGATAAAAAACAATGATATCATGTTCTTTCCTATAGTTGTATTGTTGACTCCCTATCATATTGTAGCCCTATGCCCTTATCCATGTAATGCATGTCAAACAGATTATGGTCATTGTAAAAGAGAGGATGATGGTTGCTGTGAGCAATACCAAGGTGTGGAAAATTAAGATCAGAGTATTCACAACTTAACAATCGTGGCAGGAGAAAGGTATTTGATGAATCCTTGAGATGGTAAAAAGCATGTGCATGAAATGAGTGAGAATTGGGTAAAGATTGCTAGGTACCTTTTTTGCTCATCTTGACAACGGGGAAAGATTTTGGGATGCAGGGGAGGATATAGCGCTTTTTGTATTGTTTTGAGGACAGACATTCAAATTCATGATCATCTTTATGTGTCAGGTATGTACTTAAAAGAAGGTTTGATCGTGGATCTTATGGCGAAGTTTGGTTGGCATTTCATTGGAATTGTTCTGAAGATTATGATGCATTTAGTCCAACTCTGAAAAATGTTACTCGCTTTGTCGGTGATCTACATCTTACTCCACATGGGGGCAACATGAATTATACTCCATCAAATAATCAATGCTTTAATGAATCAAGTGATGACAACATGTTCATTCTGAAGCGTATAATGGTAAAAACACAATTTATAATTTATAATTTCATGTATCCTTAACATTTGACATGTTCTTTAATGTGTATTGCTTTTCTCGTACTTTAGATATCATGCTTTTGTAGTGTTCAATTATGAAAACTGTGATAGACATTTAATTGGTTATGTTATGCATACTACTCGTCATATACTCTTAAAATGTCATTTATAGCTATACAAATTTCTTCCGTCTCAATTATTATGCTTGGTAATTTTCATTTTTCACTTTATCATCAGGTGGAGAGAGGAAACACTGCTTACTTAAGCGGGCTACGGGAGAAGTACTTTGGTGAGATTTTCTTAAATGCTTCTACACTTCAAGGTTTGACATCAAAGTCACCAACAGCCTCTTCAGTGGAACCACAATCTGATTCATCTGATCTTGTGTTGAGAAATTTATTAGATATAGATGAAATTGATTTCAGAAGAACATTTTCTAAGAATTTCAGAAAGTTCAACCTTGAGGAAGGCTTGAAACATATAGCTAGATATGTAGAATCTTTTGAGTCAAAGGCTAAGGAAATATGGCTTGTGTTTCGAAATGAAGGACTGTCATTGTCGAAACTGATATATTCTGCAGAAGAAACAAAAAAAATCACTGGTGATGGAAGTACAATAAGAAACATTCAGGTACTCCGTCCCTCAACGTGGTGGCACTGGTTGAGGACAACAGAGGAAGGAGAGAAAGAAATGCAAAATCTCATAAGGCAGCTAGTATGTTTATCATCTTCGTTTTTAAAAATTGTTGCGTTTTTAAAAATTGTTGTATCTTTTACATCTTTCTTTTTAGTTTTTATACGTACCTTAGTTGCAATCTAGTTACTGTCCATTTAAGAAGCATTTAAGATGTGCCTCATCCACTCATTTCTTTTGCATCACAATATCTTTGTTATTGGTGATGCTTTTACTGGCTATGGTTTATCTTCTGTTTAGTGGGACATAATTTGCAAATTGACAACATTGTATAAAATTTATTACTTCATGCAGTACGGAAGAATAAATGAAACCGAAATTTCTATCTGACCTGATTCCAGGTATTTTTTGTTGTAATCTACAGGCAACTATACAGAGGAAAAAAGGGGGGGGGGGGTGAGTAAGGGTTTCCAGCAAATAAAAATATTTTGCTTTAGATTAAAACGCTGAAGCAAATGAAGACCAGCAAATGCAAACCACAAGCACACAAACATTTTTTGTCCTTCAGGCCCTGCCAGCATCCACATCTTTATCTCATCCTGTGAGATGTTATACTAACTAGAAAAGTATCCAAACCCACAAGTTCATCCGACCAAAATAGCCTTTTACACCCAATCCTACCCTGATATCAGTAGGCACTAGCCAATACAATTTCTAGATAATCTCATTACTCAATCTACCCTCAAGACCAAGATTCCCGTCAGATCAAAACACTCTAATTGAAGGTTTGAAAAAAAAAAAACTAGAAACAAAAACAGAATAATAAACCACATCCCTGACAATAAGAGATCTCCGGAAGGATTATAGGTCTTCAAGCTCTGCGAAAAATCTCCTTGATGATGAACACTGGAGGGATGAATTTTCTGATTTATCATGCGTTGGAAAGCCTTGTGTCTGTTGATGGCTGGTGTTGTATTTATTAAACTTGATTACTTAACCTAAATTTCATCAGATCTGGATCGGCCATGCATGAATCAGAGCTGATGAAATCTGTTCCATTTATGCATCCATCATTCAATTTGGATTCTGTCCAGGTTAATGCAAATAAATTAAAGATCGAGAAAAATCACTGTTTTTGTGTGCTCCTGTACAACTCAATGAAAATGCTATCAAATACGTTATATAGTTTGTTGTTTATCAAATTAAAATAGTCATCAACATAGAGTCAACATTTGTAACTGGGAAGAATTATATTGTTTTGACAATAAATTTATTAGCTCATACTCTCATGTATATATATTTTTTTCTTATGTTAGATAATGTTCTGCAGCTCTTAGTGGAGAATGAACAGTATTGGTAGACAGTTATGGAACAATATTAATTACTTATAGCAGTGCCTAGATATTATCTCAAGTAGAAAGGAAAATTACATCATGACATGATGCTCCTGGATGAAAGTTTTAACCATGTGACTTGTTAAGTCAAGGTGAATGAGAATTAGTTTTGATTTGGACTGTAGGATTTCCTTCTCTTTTTTTCTCCTTTACTGCAGCAATCAATAGAGCATGATATATACTATTCCATTTTATATGGTGTCTGTTAAAACAACTGCACTTCCAGCTAACAGAGGAAGTTCACTTACGAGAAACATTAATTTGCTTATGTTTGCTCTTGCTCTTTTTCTGTATTGTAGTTGCTTGCAGTGAAGTCTTGTCATGATCGCAATATCACTCATAGGGATATTAAGCCCGGTATGGAACCCACTCTTATTTTCCTACATCTACTTTTCTACCGTATACATTTTCTCTAAAACAATATTTCAATCGATTGAGGCACTTGATAACAGCATTTTATTGTAAAAAGTTATTCATTATAACTTCGAATTATAAAGGATTACCTGACGAGGACCACACTTCTTTTGGAGAGTGAGTTAATAGCTTTGCATTAAAGGTTCATTCTCCATTACTTAGTTTGAAGTAATTAACTTGTGACATGACATCCTGATAAGGGATACATGTAAGTGTGTCTAGTAATCAAGGTTGACTGGGAGCTTTTAACAAAAGGAAAATGGATATACAAGACTTAAAGATGACTTCCTAGGGTTCTATGACTGTGAGGATGTTAACCTGAGTTCCTTGGAGGTTGAATATAAACCTCCCTTGTTTTTGAGATGAGTGAGGCAAGCACTAAAGATGGTTTAACGGGTTTTAATAATTATGTCCGAACACTGAACTTGGATCTTGGATATCGGAAATCCTGTGTCAGGGAGATGATATATAGGGATGGAAAATTTGCCTGGGATTGCTCTTGAGATTTTGTATGGCATCAAGGGGTCATAGCTTTGCTTGCACTCCTGGTTAGTTTTCTGAAACCACGTACATGATGTGCTCTTCTTCCATGTTTCATACTAATCTTGTATGCTAATTCCTATATTGTGGCATGACATGATTAATCAAGATCTAAAGACCTAAATATGCTAAACTAGCTGAATGATGAATCATAATTTATTTAGGCCAAGGCAGCATATGTTGGTTGGTAAGCAACGAGACATGATCAATCTGACTTGACAGTACAACCTTCTCATGCGATGCATGACCGTACACTAAATTGACCTCGTACTCATCTTTAGTGTTGCTGATACAATTAATTTCATTCCATTTTCTTGTAGTCAAAACTAGATGTTCGACTTGTAACTATAAAATTTTTGCTTATATGTTGATCTCTGATGGCATTCGTTTTATATGTTTTAATTTTTTAAAATATCGTGCTAAAGTCTTTGCTTTTTTTATTTGTTTTGTGGTAGAAAATATGATTGTCTGTTTTGAGGATTTGGACAGCGGAAGATGCTTAAGAGAAGTTCCAACTGAGAAGAAAAAATATCATCTGAAAATGTACATTTCTTTTTGTATATTATTTTCTTATCTTGATATCGATCTTTCCTTGCAATGCTTTGTTTTGATATAAATAGGTAAGTTTATTTCCTGATCAGACAATTTGTTATATATAGGATGTGCGATATTGTAAGCTAAGTTCATCCAATAGACACCACTTTGGGCCCTAATGTCCCATTGTAGATGCTACAAGAGATTTCCTCCCACGATCGTCTTCCGTCTTCAGAATTTCTTGAGACATAATACAAAATCAATTAATATATATGAGAATGAATACAGTGATAATAACTAAAGATCACCTTTTAAAAAACACGAAGTATTCTGTTTATCATATATTTCATACAGTTTTAAACAATACAATTTGTACAGAAACTTAAGTTTAGACAAGGTTTGGTTGTTGTTTTTAATGCAACTATTTGAGCTTGCACAAATGTTCTTTAGTGGCCATGTTGATGGTGATATACTTTATTAACGCATAAGCTGTCATTTTTTTTTGTGAAAAGTTGTTCTTTAAATGTGCATAGAGCAAAATTGAGATCATTTAGTCATCTGAGATTGTCTTTCTCGCTCTAAAAATTCTGTTAACCATCTCCAAGTTTAAAATTTCATAATATATAAACATTAGTGATGTACATACTCAATTTACTACTCATGGTGGCTTACTTCATTCAGGTTAGCTGGAACACTAGGAATGGGAGAAATTGCATTGAACGTTTTGGCTATCTTATTTTCAGATTACAAAATATAAGGGAATATTTTTTTTTGAAGGCTACGTTAGTACTTGAACCTTATGGTGATAATTTCAAGTTATATAGGTTCTGAATGTCCTATATTGAAATAATAATGCCAGATGACAATTTGCCCGAGGAGGGAGGGAGGACGGGAAGAACCTCCATAAAACATATTACAGATAACTACTAGGCTTATATTGCAATAATTCTGGAGTGGTGGGGAAGGAAAACTTGGTTTAGATTTGAAGAGGGACGGTGAGACGGATGAAGGGAAGAGCTTAGGGTTCCTCGAAGTATAGGGTGCTCACTGACCACACTATTTGGTGAAGGTTATCTTGAACTGGGATTAAGAAAGATGGGTATATCCTAGCAGTGAATATAGGGAAAATTTGCAAAATAGTCCGTTTTTGCTAATTATTTAGCAAAATAGACCGTTTTGCTAAATAATTAGCAAAATAGACCATCTTTTAAAAAAAAAGGTCGATTTTAAAAAACAAGACTCAGAAAACATACGAGACTACTAGTCCCGTATGTTTAGAGCCAACTTAATCACGGATTAGTGACTCAGAAAACATACGGGACTAGTAGTCCCGTATGTTTTCTGAGTTCATCTTAATGTTTTGTGAAATTTTCTGAGTTCACTAATCCGTGATTAAAACATACGGGACTACTAGTCCCGGATGTTTTCTGAGCTGTTTTGCAAAATAGACCTCTTTTTGGCCTGTTGGCCAAAAAGAGGTCTATTTTGCAGGCCAAAAAGAGGTCTATTTTGCTAATTATTTAGCAAAACGGTCTATTTTGCTAAATAATTAGCAAAAACGGATTATTTTGCAAATTTTCCCGTGAATATACTGTACAGGTTTGAGGAGATCATAATAAATGACACAACTTCCCAATTTGGATGATTACACAATAAGAAATTTGTGGATGTTTTATTTAGAATATCTAGTTTTTATTTTTACAAAATCCTAATCAGAAACTCTTTCTCCACTGGATCAAGGTACAAAATTAATCTCTTCTATAGATTATAGGTATTTCATATCTGTTGGTTATCAATATGGAAACCAGGTCATAATGATTATTTTAAAACATCCCTTGCCAAATCCCAATAAACTTGGTGGTGAGTTTGAAAAGTCTATATGTATAAGGTTGACCTAAGGCCTGCCCATCATAGTGGTATATAGGTTTCGGTTTTTAGGACCAATTGACGGTGTAGATGCATCTATGTACTGTTTCCTTTACATGTTCTTATATGCCGCACATGATGAATATACATTTGGGACAACATGTGTAGGTTTGAAGTGAATGCGTATTCTACTTCAGAATTGACATCACACACTGACAAGTTACAACTGACAACAACACACATGGACAAGTTACAACTGACAACACATTGTACCTTTAAGTTAGATGCACACGCACATAGCAAACGTTGATATATAAGTTAGAGACTTTTTTTCTTTATGTGTTAGTTGGTCCTATAGGAGATAGTGGGCAACTGGCTTGATTCCCCTTCTTTGGGAATTAACGTTACAATTCTTTTCCTTGAACTGATTGTCGTCGCTGATAAACCTATACATACTTCAGGCGTGTTATTGACTTTGGTAGCGCTATCGATGAATTCACTTTGAAGAATCTCTATGGATCCGGGCCAACCAGGTACTGTTGTTCTGCTCCTGAAGTACTTTATTCATATATTTTTTTCTAGTATCTTATGGACTTTATCAGATCTTTTATTGCATTTGGAGGTTTCTTAACTGTAATTGTCATCATCTAGTTGAGTAATGGTTTTGCTCTTATCTATCTTTTGGTTTTCCTATACTGGACCTTTTACTACTGACATTTTTCAATTACATTCCCTTTCTGTTTTTAATTATATAAAGAAAATAGTGTATTTTCTTTTTTATTTATGATCTCCACAACAATTACGTTCCATTAATTATTATATTATTATTTTTCTTAACTGGTGCATTAAGAGATCTCCGTAATACTTGACCGAACCACCTTAGTTGATTCTATCTCATTTTATCCCCAATAGAAGCAACCTCTAATTTACTATGGATGTAGTCTTTCTTATTCTATTCTTTGGTGTATATCCACAAGACCTAGCATTCTCATTTTTTCTCTACTTATTTTTTTACATGTTTTTCAATTGCCCAACATTCTGATCCTAAAGCATTATTGGTCTTATAACCGCCATTTAGAACTTTTGTTTAAATCTCATAGGTAGACTACGATCTCTCATAAGATTCCCGATGCACTCCTCTATTTTAACCATCTTGATTTGGTTCGATAGACGATATTATTCTCAAATTTTCCATCATGATGAATGATTGATCCTAAATGACGAAAGTGATTATTTTTAGGTATTTTTTTGCCATCTCTATGCACTATAGGCTCTTTTCTCTTTTTAGTTTTCTAAAAATACATTGCATATATTCTGCTTTTTATTCTACTAATTCTAAAAACTTTTAGTTTCAAGAGCTTGTCTCCTTTTTTATTCTTTAGATATTATACCGTTTCTAGTCTTGTCAACTAATGCTGTATCATCTGCAAATAATATACACATTGGAATTTAATCCTAAATATTTAGTAAGTTGGTCTATAACTAATGCAAAAAGATAAGGATTTAAGGCTGAACATTGATGTAAACCTAGGGTAATAGGAAAGGGTTTGTCGCTCCTTTATCTGTTCTTACCCTAGTTGTTACTTTATTTAATCTGTGTTGAGGTAGCACCTATAATATGTGCGAACTGTGAGAGAAATAACCGCATTAAGTGATACACTGACACCTATGCTATTTCAGATCTTTGCAACTGAAAGAGTAGAAACCTCAGGTCACGTATTCTTAGTCCTCTATAACTTCATAAGATAATTCCTACAATTTTTGGGGATGTTAAATTTCCTCAAGAAAATTTTATTATACAAAAAATATGCATGTTAGTCTTTATTTTAGTTTGCATTTGCAAATATAACCTTATTCATCACATAACTTCGTTTATTACATAAATAACAAATGTTAGATTTGTTTTGATTCTATGAGGGTTATAGTCCAATTTATAGAGTTTAACTGCAAAGAATGAGAGAGAAATGAATTATGCTGCATAAATAGTGGCAATCAGAGCTATAAGTAGGCAACTAGAAGAAGACTCTGAGATTCACTTCTGAATCTTACCGAGGCTAAGGCACATGGAGGCAGGCAAACGGACTTGGGCATGACACATCATAATTCACTGGCACACCAACACTCTTCCACTGTACAACAACAAACCGTGACAGGGCAAGAAGTGTTGCATTTTGTACAAGCCTGAAGAGGCATTGAGTCTAGAGATGGTTGGGCTACATAGATTCCGGTTTATCAATGACAATCTTTTAAATCACGTTCCATCTAGACATACCTTATTCTTGCGGAACAAATGGACAAGCCATTCCAACCACGTCGATAAAAGTACTGCACCCAGTATTGATGTAAGCTTCAATTAATGGCTTATATAACCAGCGTCTCATCTGGGAAAGCGCTCCCTATTGGACCTGTTTCCTTCTCTTTGACCATGGACAACTAGTTACAAATATAATCAAATATGTAACATGTATCTGAATCAATACTTCTATTTTGCATTAACCTTTTTGAAAATTTCTTTGTGTCATCCTATGCTTGAATCAAATATGTAACTTTGTGGGCATTGTTTCTTGATCAGTCATATTCCTGTGTGATGTCAGATGCTTTCAGTGTGTCATCTGCAGTTGAGACCTTATTTCCCTTTATCCTAAGTTCTATTCTTATCAACTTCCTCTGTGTAGGTTGACTATTATCCCATTACTAGCTTCTTCAACTGTGACACCCCAATGTTTTGTCCCATATCGCTGGATGAATGAATATTCAGTGGTTTATATAGTAAAGATAGTGTAGTACTACGTACTAACTAGCTGATTATGGCAGTGTTTTGAGCCAAACAACATGCTACATTGAGTGGGTCCTTGACGTACACTGCACCAATAAGCTCGTAGGCCCGGGGCATGAGAAATGACATCAGAACAGTTAGCCAGTCAGAAGTATAGAACTGAGTGCTATGTGTGATTAAATGCTCAATTGTGTGGTCGTGGTGGGAGTCACATCTAGAACCATTAGAAGTCACATCTAGAGTCCATATATCTCGGTGATGATACTGGGATGGGCCAACTATCAAATAGCAACGAAGACATCACCTTTGTAAGGTGGGGTGATTTTAGCATCCCCATCTTTAGTCCCACATTAGTGGGTTGTGGAGAATTTAAAGTGTTTAAATAGATAACTTAAGGACATAAGTTAGCATTGGCTAGTTGATTTTGACAGTGGTTTGAGCCAAAAAATGTGTTACACAAAATGATCTCATGGGTTATATCGTGTCGATAAGTCTGCTGGTTTAGGGTGTGACATCAACTAACTGGCGAACTTCTTGAACTCCTTGAGGAGAATGAGACGTTCCAAACCCTCAAGCACCTTTATTACAGTTGCTTTAGCTCATGCTATTCCATGCTGCCTACCATTTTAAAGGTACTTGGACATTCTTGAATTATATGGGGAAATCCATGATATCCAAAGCAAGCTATAGCTTTCCATCGCTTGATTCCTCAACTATAACGTAGTAAAATTTTCCCCCAAGTTGATAAGTATTAACCCTCTCCGGAAGTACTCTCCTATTAACCAAATAAGTAAATGCTTTTGACAGTTGCAAAGCAGTTACTTTCTGTCCTAATTCTTCTTTGGCTTAATGAGTAATGTATAGTTCGGGTGTCCAAATGGGTCGGCCCAACTCGCAAATCCTGGTCCGAACCTAGCAAAATGCCCTGCCCCGATCCGGACCTGGATGTACCAGTGCGGTTCTGGTCCGGGCGATTGCGGGTCGGGCTAATTATTGGTATTTCAATAACAATGGCTTAATGAAATATTTTTCAAAATGTAGAGCATTGAATGAATGTATTTAATAAGCTCCAAAAGTTTAATTTTAAAATGGCTTCTATTTAATCAAAGTATTATGTTCCACTAATTTACATTCTCCTTCATGATTTCAACATCATCTCAAGTAAAACATTCATCATGCTAACAAACAATAATTATATCATCGAAGGTCTAAACTTTTAGATTTTTTTAATAATATTCTCAATATATCAAACCTTAACATGTCATTACAATGATTTCTAATTAAAAGTTTTTAAGGGATAAATAAGAACAAAGAAATTCAACTTGGTAGATTTGAATTAGTGACCTAAAGAACTACCTATGACCAACTACAATCCACTAAACCAACTAAGCTAAGGTTGGATTGTAATCATTAATATTGTTAATAACTACAATTAACTAGCCAATTTGCACAAAAACACATTGTCGCAGGTCGGGCCGGGCATCAACAGAGGCACCTGGACCCTTGCTCGGAACCTGGCCAAGCTTGGTTTTCTGGGGTTTTCCGGGGCCTAGGTTGGGTACTGGTGGCTCGGCCTGAACCGCGTTGTGGCCTTTGTGAACAGCCCTATGGACAGTGTCCTTTTTGGGTCGACCATCGTCATACTACAAATATTATCTGCTTCTCATAAAATTGGCTTGCATCTTTGATTTTGATTATTACTTATCTTGTGCTTTGCCCATTTTATTAAATCAAGCTTTTGATCATAGATTTTCAATTGTTAAGTTGTATTAAATGATTTGTGTTATTAGTATTTTTCAACTCAAAAAATTACTAAACCTTATAAGTTGACACATAGAAAATATTAAGTTCTCCAACTAGATTTAGTGTTTGAAATGTTTCTGATATTTGTAAAATTGTAGATAACATAGAGAGCAATATGCACCAATATATATGTTTCTATCTTTTGTATTGTTTTTTTCTTCTTTCTGGAATTAGTAATTTGGACTGAAATATAAATTGTATCAACAACCACATTTTGCATGATAGCTAGGTTTCGCATGAATTGGAGCATACAGGTACACATTTGGTAAAATAATGTTTTTGATTAACTAATAGTAAAGCTGGAAAATGAAGTAAGAGTTGCATGCTTCCCTGATTCTACTGTATGATATTCCTATATTTAATTTTCTTTGAACTGCAAGATTGATACTTCGTTAGTATGAATATTTTTTATCTTAATTCTTTTGTAAAGTTTCATTTAGTATATTTCTTATAATAACTATTTCTACCCTTTCTTTCCAGGTTAGAACAGACTTTTGAGTACTCTCCGCCAGAGGCTCTACTCAATGCTAGCTGGTTCCAGGAGCCAAACTGCTTAACATTGAAGTGTGTTATGATTCTTGCTATGATTTAGTAATCTATATTATTTTTCAAAATTCTGTCACCGTTTCCTACATTGACCATCATAGTGTTTTTAGTTCCATCTCTGTTGAAGCTTAAAATATGTTAGCATATTAATCAATATGTTACATTTTTTTAATTCAGGTATGATATGTGGAGTGTGGGAGTCGTTATGCTAGAGTTAATTGTAGGATCTCCGCATATTTTTCAGATAAGTGATCGTACCCGTGCTCTATTGGATCAACACCTTGAAGGTTGGAGTGAACACACAAAGGAGCTTGCATACAAGTAAGTTTATGCAACCATGAGAAGTTAAATACGAAGTACATGAATTATCTTATGCTATTTTTGGCTGATACCAAATAGTGGTTGAAATGAACCAAATAATTAATAAACAATTCGATTATTGTTCGTCTAGATACTCGCTCGTATTCGATTCGGTAAGACTCAGTAGTTCATTTATCAGTAAACAAATATTTTTTAGTATTAGGTTCATAATGACTAAAATTTAACCAGAGGTGCATTTGATTTGGTTGATCATTAAATATTCGTTTATGCTTTTATTCCTCTAAATTTAACTTATTATAAACTATTATTCCTATAAAGTAGCAATTGAGATATTTATCATGCCGAAATATATCATACCAAAATATCTAATAACATAAATTCATATTCTAATTTTAACTGAGATTATATTCATTAGTTAATGTAAGTGTAGATTAGTACTTAATTAATTAAACATCGATATAGATTAAAAGTAATAGAGATGGTTTAAATGCTAATACAAATTTGCTAGAATATGAATTGATGTAGATGTGAAATCTATAATGAGATGTTTATCTACTCTTACATTATTACATTTTACTATTTATATTATACAATATTATAAATATTATTGTTGATAAATATATAAATTAATTATGAAAATAATGTGTATGAGGTGAGGGTTTATTTTGTTGAATGAGCTACCAAGAGATATCCATGGTGGTGAGGCCCGCCTTGCTTCATCAAAGGTGCAGACCACCACTCTATCTATTTGGTAGTCATTTAGCAAATGAGCTGTCACCTCAACCCATCATTCCCATTTATTAATAAATATAATATTATATATATATATATAATATAAATTTAGTAGTGAAATATCATAATAATCATTAAGTAGTTAAGAAAAATGTAAAAGAAAAGTAAACAAAGAAAATACCAGTGAAGGATTCAAACTCAAGACTTGAGATTAGGGAGTCAATTGCCTCAGCCAAGTGTGCTAGCAAACATTTGTTAACTTTACCGAATGCTCATTTGCTTAACCAAATCAAATTTGAACATGCTCTTCGTATTCGATACAAATTTGAACTCGAATTTGCTGGATAAAACCAAATTCGAATTCAAATAATACGGTATTCAATTCGATTTGGTTCGTTTCCACCTCTAATACTGATAACCTACCGCCAATTTTAACTTGTAGTTTGTGTGATGTTTGAAAACTGAGATGTTTGAGTCCACAGTGTTAACTATTAACTAATTGAGCCCTGCAAATTCTAAAAGAGGGCAATCTTCTATCATTTTAGTTGTTTGAAATGCTACATTAATGCATTTTGCTTTGGGTTTTCTCTTAGAAACAACCTTCAAAATAGGGTCATTCTACAGAAACCACCTTTGATTATCAATTTACACATAAACCACCCCTATTTTGTTTCTATGAAAAAACCCGTTTCTTTTATTTTCCCCTCTTTATGAGATGTTGTTATGTGTCATATAATGAATTTTAATTCCTTTGTTGCAGATACATTTTTCTGTCCCTTAGGTTCTTTTCCTAAGTTGGGATTTCATTATTCTATTTCTTCTTGTGGTTCAAGTCATTGGCCATAAATCATGTGTAAGAGGTATATTAATTTATACCAGAGAGGAGTACAGATGTGATAAGAGAAACCCCATATCCTATAGTTATTACCCCTTCTAAATTTGAAAGATGCATGTTTTGAATTGTCAACTTTCTCTTGCCTTGATGAGTTCGAGGCAAAGATGGCTTCTTCTGCTCATTCGGTCACTCGTTACTTATCCAACAAGATGTCTCTGTATCTCTCCCTGATATTGAGTGGTCCCATCTTCTCTATTGGCATTATCTATTGTATGCGCTCTATTTTGGCTTCAGGGTGATGCATAACTCATCCCACCAGTATGCAATCTCTTTATCACAACTACAACATTAGTTGATGCTTCCAATCTTACCTCATCAATCCTGCTACTTTTACTTTTACTGCTGATGGTTATCACCCTCTGCCACTCACAACACCTTCAGCACCTCGCCATATTATCCTCCTCCACAATCCGCCAATAAATACTCCCCTCAATCTCCTACTGCATACACTATCTATACAAAATTACCTATTTCATTTCTATATATCTCATATACATAGACCCCTACCACTAATATTGTTATTCATCTCCCCCAAAAATTCTCTCACTCAACTCTCTTATCCATGGTTATCACCTGAAGGTAAATAAATCCATTTGAAGATGCCTAGATTTAAATGAGTGCAACCAAAAGAATGTTGTTGGGGTGCACACTAGGAATTATTCTTTTCATGGTGTTAGCTGTATGAGCAAAAGATGTTAGTTATTTTATTGACAACTAGTTGGATCAGAAGACAATGAGTGTAGTTGATTAAATTTGCTTGTTCAACAATTACGTGCATTGGTTCAGAATTCATGAGTTGGTAAATGCTTCGGTTCTGTGCTATTGGGATGGTCTTCAACCAGTAATCAGAATTGTATTGCAAAACTTGGCTGTGTTTGATGCACGTCGTATTGTAGGCAAGGTTGAAAACTTGAAAAAGCTCTTGATAGTGGAAACCGTTATTGAATAGTGTAGCTGGTCATCATCGACTTCTTACTGCAACTAATCCTATGCAGGGAGATTGAGATGATCAGAAGATTGAGATGATCAGAATGGCCCATAAACTTGGTTCACATGACAAAGTCTGGTTTCTATCAACAAATTGTGGGCTAACATGAGGTTATAGTTAGTCATAAAACTTGGTCATATGAAACTAACTCGACTTTTTGAGTCATGTTCTATAATGTCTCTCTACTTATGAGGAAGGCTAGATGTAGAAGAAAAATGTCTAGTTTTCTACATTGTTTACTATGCATATAAAATGAACAGCGTTAACTTTTGCAGTTGCAAAGCTAATCATTTGACTTGCTTTTGTGTTGTTTAACCAGACTGAGATCATACATGGAGATGTGCATTTTGATCCCTGGGGTATCCTCACGTCAGCATCAAAAAGAGCCCGTGGATCATGTAAGCCATTTTCTATGTTTAGCCAATTGCAGCTTCCTTTGAGATGTTAGTGGTATAATTTTTTATCGGGATAAAGGAGGAGGTCTTACATTATGTTCAAGAGACTAAACTTTTGAACTACAGAACGGTAATAGAAGGTACATCATTTTTTCTCTTCTTTTTGAATAAAAGGCTTTGGCCTTTTATTTTTGTTGAATCTCTGAGATCCCATATTGTAACCTCATCCCTTTACTATTTGAGTCAAGCATTAGTGCTAATGTAAGCTATAATTCCTTAACATAAACAAAATTGGAGCATTTTTTCCTCAGCATCCCATTGTCTAGATGTTGTGTATATCATGGGTGGTCATCACTTTATTAAAGGTACCGTTGCACTATATAAAAAGTAACTCTCTCTTTTCTCTGTGATATGTGAAGTTATTGGGGGAACTCTAGTTTTCTCTTCAATATTTCCGTAAATCACCACACTGCTAATCTCCAACATTCACCTGGTATGTTAAGGTTTCCTAAACATCTGTAACTCATCTTTGGGCGGTTTCCAATGATCATCATCCATTTAGGTTATATATATATTTTTCATGACCAATATATTTAGTGCATCATATGCTGTCATCTTCATAGACACATTCTCTACAGTTGAGGAAATAGTACTCCATTGAGCTGAAAGTTGAACCGTACAGTAAATTTATCTGGAGCCTTGAAAAGATTTCCGTTATAGCAGATAGCCTTAGTATTTCATTTGAATGTTATTTTTTCGGATGTTTATTTACATTTTGTGTTTGAGCTTTCTTTCTTTCTTTCTTTTTTTCCCCTCCTCTTCTTTCTGCATCTCATAATGTTGTTACATGTAACCAGATATTTCAGAAACCACCAAGAGTAAAGTTGGTTACTGGTATTATTGGTTTTCTGGTGTGATTGTATCTTCTTTCATATGGGTTTGTGTATTTTCTTTATTGCATTTCTCCTTTCCTCTTTTGGACTCATTTTCCCCCTTTTCACCTTGTGTTCTTCCTCCTACTAAAGTCCTTATTTACAGTTTGCATGTTTTCCTTAATGCATCTGCCTGTATGATTCACATGTAAGCAATTCACATTTTAACATACTAATCTTGCTAAGTAATTTACAACATTCTAGGACAGGTGTTAGGTGATTCGTAGAATCTCTCTTCCACATCCATAGATCCTTCTTGTCTTTTAGACCAAGCCCTGACTAACCCATTAAAGGAAAAATCTTGGATGATGATTGAATGCTGATGATTATTGTCCAATTCTTCCAATAAAAATGATGTAATCTGTGGAGCTGAATGATGTATTTAAAAAGTTGCACCGAAATTTAATGACCTACTATCAACCAAGTGGCAACTGTTGTGTCAACATGAAGCAAACTCTTTGATTTCTTGGTATTCAATTCCTGGAAAAGCAACAAATGTCTTGAGGCAAGGGCCTGGTAAAGGACTGATAGACCGGTCGGCGGGTTGGGGTATGCAAATTACATCTATAATCATTAGATATGCTGTTGCGCTTTGTTCCTTTAATTAAGTACTATCATCCATGTATACATTCTGATGAAAATTCACATCTCAAAATAAGGGTGGAGGTTGGCTAGCATCTTGGAAATGTTCTGAAGAATCCTTTGCTCATCAAGTGAAGAGTAGAGATCCACTTAAACGGGGGTTTGTCTTATTGACATGATGCTTTTGTAGATTTATATCATCACCTAATCTGTAAATTTCTTGATATATGATTTTGTCAACGTTGTGCAGTTTTCCAAACATGTGGGCATTGCGATTAGTGCGACAGCTGTTAATGTGGCATCCAGTAAGTTACAATAGAACTCAGCCAGCTTCTTGAATAGATTTTATCAACATTTTATATTTCATTATCATGAGAAGTAATGATTGTGTGCTTATTGCTAATCAGATAGCTATAGATCTTCTTACTGTTACTAGAAATTATGCACATGCTAATGCACCTTATCTATGTTACCCGGGTATTTCTAGCATGAAACTATCGATAACCGACACATACCTGACACTTATCCATACCCAAACTTCAGGGACACTCCTTGGATGTATGCATACATTTACCCATACATGTACTCAAGTATACAATAAATGTTTTAATTTAAAATACTTGTCATACACTTATTGGACGTATATCCTACACACTCAAGTATACAATAAATGTTTTAATTTAAAATACTTGTCATACACTTATTGGACGTATATCCTACACAAACTTCATGGACACTCCTTGGATGTATGCATACATTTACCCATACATGTACTCAAGTATACAATAAATGTTTTAATTTAAAATACTTGTCATACACTTATTGGACGTATATCCTACACTTTATGTCAATTGTTTGAAACTCGTTAGACATGGCTCCGGTTGTTACATTCCATGTCCAAATTAAAAACTATAATTTAAATGGATGGTTTAAGTGTCTAGTTAAAAGCGAGCAGTTTCCAATTTATAATAATCGACGTAATAAAAGACACTTAAAACTATGATAGGAAATTAAATTCAAATAGCACAAATCTCATGTAAATTATTAATTTTGATATATATGTGTAGCCGTGTCCCCCGTACCCTACATTTCACAAATTTGTCGTGTCCTGTACCGCTACCTGCACCCGTATTGGTACCCCTACCTATTTCCATGCAACTTTGCACCTTACATAAAAAAAATATGGATTTAAACCTTTTAATTAAGGGTGCGCTGGATATGGTAAGTTGATCAAAACCGGGAATAATCTAATTAAAACTTTTAAACCTAGATCCATATTGTTTATTATTGTATTTTTAAGGGAAAGATG